CAATGCGCTTGCAGAGCAAAGGAGCCATTCATATACAAAGTATGAATAATGAATGCAGTCTCGTTTTCATAATATAACGAATTTATGAATACGCTTTTGTTAGTGGTCGATGTGTGTGCTCAGATGATGTGATCCAGATTACCAGTTTGACTGACAGACGCATGTACAATGTCCATGCTTTCCTCCTGTTTTACTTATCGTCTGTTCATTTCTTTTTACTTGTTTGGAAAAAATGATCTGAGTTTCAGAGAAGAGATATAAGATCTCATTATAATGAGGGGTACGTTTCATGTTCGTTGCTACTTCATCTGAAGTCAGTGCAGTACTCACATATCAGAATGTCTAAGGTCGTTGGAATTTTCTGAACGAGATTCTCTGAGCAAAGAGTCACTCACAAGTAATAGTAATCATCACAGCCGTATTCACATCTGAACGATTGGCAAGAAGAATGCTGAAACCAGAATACTGGGCAACTACATCGTTTATATTTTTTTGTGGCCAAGTGAACAACGTTTCTTGCTTTTCTTGACGTGCTTGGACCGCAACGAAGACATTTATTCAGTTCTAGTGTGCTGCTGTTTGCTTGGGAAAGTTGTAGGAGTCTACCAATGTGAATTTTAAACAGTTGATATAAAATCGAGTGTTCGGTATATCGTTCACGGGGAAGAATTGTAGTCGCGAAAATTTCGGAAACAAGACAATATGTTTTTTCGATGTCACAAGACATATAATATATGTCTAAATTGCATCATTAACATTACAGCATTACACTAAAAGGTACAGGCATGATGCAAATGGCGGATTCTAGCCATTGGCCAATGTACTAAACCCCTTTTTGGAAATATATAAGAAAGTCTAAATTAAGTATATATACTGTATAATACAAACTATAATGTCGCCTTTTACTTGATACTTGATAAAGTACTAAAACGTTATTTTAGTGTAAATAAAACGTATTCTACAAAGATTAAGTGCCACCGAAAATTTCTGGGTTAAAGTGCACTTAAAATATTTTGTTTCAATAGTGACTTAAATTTATTGTGATTTGCTATATTCCTAATATTAATGTCTAATGCATTATAATACTTGACTGCGTTGTATGAGTAAGAACGCTGAAATATGGCTGTGCGATGACGTGGTATGGATAATGTGCTCATATACCTTAAGTGTTAGTTTGTTCCATTAACGTAGTGGTGAATAAGTGGTTATAATAAATAATAAAAAGAGTGTTATTAGCAGCAGAATAGTTATTAGTACTTTCGAGATCAATATTAATTTTAGCCTCAGCCATTTTGAAATCACCATGAGTAAATTAAAAAAAGGCGATGCTTACCTCGTGGAACTATTCTTCCACTTGACCCATGTCTGTCTGTCGATCTGTCCCCTAATCTTTGGTCCCACTACGACTCTAAAGTATCGGTCGGATTTTGGTGAAATCTCGACTTAAGATTTCCAATGACAAAGAAGCTTTATAGTTCGATAAATCGGCGGCTAAACTAAGAGCAGCAAATGGAAACAACGAAAATCAGAGGCTTTTGATCATTTTCAGAAGCTTTTTGTAGGTGTTTAAAATGGGTGGCTGGCAGTAGATGATTGTAAATGTTGCATCCTTGTTGTTTTTGAAAGATGTTTTATTATTGAAAAGCTCATCAGTAATGCTACTCATTTATTAGAGTATTAGACACAAAAACGATGTTCCTGCAAATGTTCTCGACTGGAGTTTCGCTATCCGCTTCCAGTGCTGCAACTACCCGAAGGCACCAGTAAACTGACTGTGTGTATTTTTACCACGGGCTTGCAGAAGATCCAGCAGGTGCGTCAATAATATTTAGCCTTTGTGCCAAGAAGGTTGAGTTTATATATTCACCATTCATTTGATAGATTTCCTTCGAACCGTCGACAGAACTGTGTGGGAAGTACGGAGTCAACCTACTTGACGCCATTACTGCTTCTTAATAAGATGCGTGCAGCCTGCTTTAGACAGGTGTGAGCTATATGATAAGACGCTCTTGATGTGACCTTGACTGATTATCTAAAAGCGAAAGCACAGCTTTATGGGTTTGATGGGAAGCAATCAATACACTCAAGTAGATATCTAAGTAGCTTCATCGAAAGGATATCATCATCACAGGAGAAGAAAAACCAATAACAGTAACATCTAAGCTTCGTTGTGTCATAAACCGTTGACGATTGCCTCAAACAAAAAGCCCGTCGAAATAAAAATTCCGCCACATTTGGCTCTTAAAGGCGAATCCTTCCTCTTTATTACTCTTCCTTCTCTTCCCTAATTGCTACTTCTGCGATTAAGAAGAACGCTGGTGTCATTTTTGTCGGGTGGGGGTTCCGGAGATAATCGTTAACCTGCTGCAGAAATGGAGCCGTTACGGAAGCTTGGATTTTTTGGAGATTGCTGTTTTTATGACGGAGGCATGCCTTGTGAATGGTTGGGAACATTTGGTGAAGGCATATGTGATGAACTCTAAGAGCTTCGGTATTATAATGGAAGGAGATTTAAAATTCATTAAGGGCATAAACTATCTTATTTATCAATGCTATTTATGCTGCTCAAATAGCTTCATTTGCGATTAAAGCTATATTACACCAATCTGTTAAAAAGCAATTGAGTCTTTTGAACTTTCAAAAATACCAAATTGTTTGCTTGTTCATTACACCCTTTCAGATGTTGTAACAATCATGTTGAAAGTATAATGTACATCTTGAACTCTCGTAAGCTTTTTCAGAAAATCCGATCATATATCGGAACCCATTTATGATATTAACTGGATAAAAAATGAAAGTATGTATGAATAAGATCTCCTACATCTGGCTTAAATAATTTCATATCCAGAGACACAAACATATTTAGCAAACAAGAGGAAATATGCATGGCATCAATATTAGATAGTGAACTTTATCAATCTCATTCCACAGCACATCTCAATTTTTAAAAACGTACATTCACAATGCAATCGAGTTATAGAGCCTCCTCGATTCTAGCTTAACAGGCACTGTTTCAGTATTCCAATTCAAAAAACCTAGAAAGAAACTCTACCTGATCATCACCGAAATCTTTAGTAGCTATTAGTTGTACTTACACAGATGTTTTATTTATGTATTTGTAACGCTCACGATGCATGCTATTATTATATACACATATTGGTTATTATCAAATGTCTCCTTTTTATACATTTCGCATTGTTAAGGACCTTAAGTGGAGGAATAGATGTTATATTTAAGTCTTGTCTACAGAAGCGTTATAACAGATAATAACATATTCCATACTCAATATAGTCAGGTCATTAAACAAACAATCTTCATTGGGAGCTACTCTTGATTGTTACCCGCTCTTTCAAAATAATGTTTTACATACTGTTTACAGATAGCGCACTATGGGTAGTAGCAGATGGAAGCATACGAGTATACGAAGGTGGTTCCAACGAAGACGTTTGTTATTCCAGAAAGGGTCGTTAATTAAGTTTTTTTAGACACTTTGAACCACACAGTTCTCTCTGAAGCACTATGCGGAAAAAATCTTAATAACCATTATTCAAGATATCATCTCTAAATGATATAGAGTATGCAATCAAATAAATGTCGCATAAAGGTGGTTATTTTAGAAAATACACATTTTACATATAAATACAAACATGACAGGAATTGAAAGCAGTAAATAAAAACAGACACTTCAACACACTGAATGGTAGGACAAGATATAAAAACTCATTGATAGAATAATACGCTTCTTAAGAAGGTTGAACTGTGAAAGCTTATCAAATTTGATTTGAAATGTATCAACAGCTCATGTTAAGGTTGAAATTCCCGCCTCTTAAAAAACCCCTCTACGACTGCTCAACTTGTTTACCCCTACCAATAGTCTTATAATCCTCTTTTGAATAATAAAACCCCTGCTAGATAAGCTATTATACCACAAGTGATATCTGATTGAAAGTAGGAAAGGTAGTTCACTAATTGTCTGCTGATGCAATACCCCATTGGAGTGATTTTCTTACAAAAGTGATCTATGTAATGGCCTCAACTACAATTGTAAGACAAGTAACGTCCAAGAACTTCACCATCTGACATTACTCAATTGATGCGATTCAATTAGTATTCTGTGATCTGGTACTGATGTATACATGAAATGGATAGACAATGACTTTTTTTCTGTTAAATTATCAACAAATCCGTGTAAAATCAGTTGTTGCGAGTGCAGCTAGGGTTGGAACTGTGCTAGCATCTACTAAGAGAAAGGTACCATCTGCATACATAACAAGGTTACGTATATTATGTATAGGATAGGTCCGAGTATTGATCCCTGAGGAAATCCAATGCAGCTTGTGGTTGGGCGGGATTTGTGGCCACCAACCTGTACATACTGATGTCTATCGCTTAGGTAGATCTCAAAACTCATAAGTGGAAGTCCCCTTACTCCGTTTAGCTTCAATTTTTGTAGAAGAAGCTTGTGACCTACCAGATCAAAGGCTTTGCTCAGATGTACAAATATTCCTTTCTTATTTTTGCACATAGCTGTATAGAGCATCTTTAGAAAAGCAGAAATGGCCTTAGGTGTGGACATTCCCTTGAGAAAACCAAGTTGGTGAGGGTTAAAAAAGTTATGTTTAGTAAAGAGTTAAAATAAATAATGGCAAATCGCAACCTCAAATAGACTTCAGTGACAATCTGTTGAGAGTCACCAATTCTAAGATGCTACCGCAAGGAGTTCAGATCTAGCGATCTTTGTGAAATTGACACTTTTATTTTAGCAGTTTACAAAACGTCATTTATGTTCTAGGGCTGCCAGTTTTATTTTTTTCCGTACAGAAGCGCAATGCTGGTGGAACAGCCTTTGGCGAGGAAGTATTGTAATAGCAGACAGTATCAAAAATGAGATTTTGGGATGTTACGAGGGATGTCATTTAAGTTTTGCATATGGAAATAAAACAACACGGTAGATAGTTTTAAATGACATTATGGTTTTTCGAAGTATTGTCCATGAAGACTAATACACATCTGCATGCGATCGAACCAATTTTCTAAGCACTTATTCCATCCGTTTGCTGGCAGATCCAAAACGACATTTTTGAATGCGTTAACTGCTTCTTCTGGTGACTGGAACCTTTGAACACGTAGTCTGTTTTTAATTTTTGGTAAAGTAAATAAATCGTTAGAACTTAGATCGGGACTATATGGAGGAAGGTCCAATAATTCCAAGTTTTCTTCCGTTAAATACTGCCTTGTTTTTTGGGCTGTGTGCGAGCTTGCATTGTCTTGGTGGAGGATGATTCTTCTGTCGGGATTGATTTTTCGAAGCTCGGTGATGATTTTTGGCAAACAAATGGTGGTATACCAATCCGCAGTTACAGTTCTGTGCTCATTAAGAGGAATTGTTGCAATATGACCCGCTTTGGACTCAGATGTCGCGACCATCTGTTTCGAAACACTTCGAGAACGGATGACTTTTGTTGACTTTTCTTCACCTTGGAACAAACAGCCACCTATCGTTTATTTCATCATAACAGTAACATAACAGTAAATACACGATTCATCACCACTAGCAATGCAGTACACATTTTTTGAGTTTCCGGAATTGAAGCGGTCAAGCGGTTTTTGACACCAATTAACCCTGACTGCTTTCTGCTCTTCAGTCAACAGGCGGGGTATCCAACGAGAAACTAATTTTCTTACTCCTAATTCTTCATGTGAAATTTTTTGAATCGTGGTCTTTGAGATCGGGATGACTGCCGTTTTTTGTGCACCCACCCTGGGATCGTCGCTAAGACTCACCCGACTACGTTTGAATTCTCCACACCAACGGGAAATTGTCGACTGATGTCGTGCTTCGTTGCCGAAAACAGACAGTAACTCAGCAAGGCATTCTTGTTGCGGTAATTGTCTCTGAAAGTTGTAATAAATTATGGCGCGAAAATGTTCTCGGTTGAGTTTCATTTTTCTAATGACTTGGTGACACTTAAAAAATCACTGTTGTGAGAACGTACGTATTGTTGCGAAACTTTGAATTTAAGTTTACTAAAGAGTGAAGTTAAGATTCAGTACTGACGTTCGATCCGCGCGGCCTACTATGTTTCTATATGCAAAACTTAAAAGATATCCCTCGTATACGACATGCACATCACGAAAAATCATATTATTCATCTCTGTCGGTCTGCCGGTTGGAAAGTACTATCCGGAATTTGATTAACCATTCACATAAGGTTACGACTATTCCAAAGATGAAAAATAAAAGAAAACGAAGAAATTAAAATCACTGAAATCTCGGTTATTCATGTTTCAAACGATTCTGATCAATTTCGGAATAATTTTTTTAGGGCTTATAAACTGGATATTTGGGGTCTTAGGGGTGGGGAGAATATCTGCTTTTTTCTGCTAACATTTCATTCGTTTCGACCCCGGTAGTTCTACGCACCTAATAAAGATATTTCATATGCCATAGATTTTCCCTTAAAACTTGAATAATAGAGATATATTTTCTACATACGAGTGCCGGGAAACACAATGAACGTCGTTTGTTTGATGATCGATAATGCAGATGATGCGAGCACTGCTTGCGCAACGCCGAGCTGGGTTTGCGAGTGCTGAGGAAGGCAAAGCTGGTCGGTACTGCCGGGAGGGCAACGTTGCCAAATCTGTTTGACTGACATTATCCAATTAATTCTCTTCTTAAACATATTCATATTCAACTGTTTTCCAAGTGGGACTAATTTGTGCCCAACACAGTCCATTGTGGTAGCGTTGAGTAAGAAGTGCAATCAACCTACTTGACGTTGTTTTCTTAAATATGACATCATGATCGACATCAGTACCTTTCTCGTATAAAATACTTCGCTTCATCTACATTTCTCCATAACGTTGAGGATATAAGAGCGACATTTCTCCTCGGCTCTGCAAACTGCGCCGCGCTTCGCGCTCGAGCCAGTCGCCAATTTGCAGTTTCGTCGATGGCATCCCAGAAAAACTTCCGACACTAAATAAGTCGCGGGCGCAAAGAACGTAGGCACTTCCGCTTTTATCTGGGGCCTTGCCGCTACTTCCGGTGTACTCCGGACTCCGTTGCTGCGCCCGGATATATGAGAGCATAAATCAACGGAAATATCACCCCGCTAAGGTTATCCAGACTCCGAGACTCGATTCGGTGCAGTGAAGAACGACTACCTCTGATGCATTTTTGTCATATGAGGTCATTTCAACTCCTAAATCGAGAGTACCGCATGTCTACAATAGAATGTTGTTTATGCTATATGACTCCACTTTCTGACGTAATCAAACCGCATACATGTGCTATTTTCTCTTTATTGGTCGACATTTCGGCCATCTCTGTGTCCATTTTTAAGAACAATAGCACCATAGAAAACCCCAGAAGTGCCTGGGATAGGCACTAGTCACCCAAGAGGGTAACTAACTGGTCATATACATATATTCTAAATTCATTATTTTATTGTTGTTATTTGTGTATAGTGTTTTTGCTGGTGTTCATAGTAGTTCTAATGTATTGTTATTTTGTGGCCTAAAGCTATTATTATCGATTTTTCATTGTAATACAAGTTTATATGTTGTTTTTTTTTTGGGAATGTACAAAAACCTAGAAGATACACTAAACCATACAAAAAATTATTCAAGTAACTGGTCTTATTCCATGTGGTCTAACTGATGGAATGGAAAGCCTAAGTTAAATTGTTAACTTATGGAAAATACGCATATCTCTTATTTTTAAATATGTGGTAGCTTTGAAATTATTTGTCCTAAGTATATTAGATTTGGTAAAATTTAAATCTCTAGAAGATGACGGAAAATATACAGGGTGTTAATAAAGTATGTAGACGAACTTTAACCATCGAATCCTTGGTCTATTTGAAGACTAAATGTTCATTTGAACATGGGTCTGAAATGGCTTTCTTTTCGAGCTAGAGCACCATCACTAAAGAAATACGAGTAATGTTCCAAATATTTCTATGAATAGTGACACGTATTTATTGAACAATTGGTATAACCTATGATAAATTTTGCATGTTTTACAAGTTGCTGAGGCTCAATATGAAGGTGGATGAAAATAGTATTATCCTGTATTTTTGGAAATTAAAATTGTATTTAGAAGCTCAATAGAACAGTAGCATTCGAAGAGAAGGATAACAATAGAAAATATCGAATAGTTTTTTTACAATAAATGTTCAAAGTGACCACGAATTATTTGAGAAAATAAATTAATTCAATTGTATCCGGGTACGTCGTAGGTGTCTAGATAAGCACAATGTTTAAATATTAAACGTATTGCGATCAAAACAGATCAATGTCATGCTATTTTTTCAAAAAATGCTGGATAACATTATTCGTATCTACGTACATGGAGGGTCTGAAGTCAACTGTAAATCATGGGATATTCACCACAGGGCATACTTAATTAAAATAAAATATGTTCCACTCTTTTATAATTTTTTAGAACAATAGCATCATTCCTCCTAGTGCTCTAGCTTGAAAACAAAGCCGTTACGCACCCATGTTCATATAAATTTCGTCCTCAAATTGACCAAGGATTCGGTGGCTAAGGCTTGTCTACATATTTCATTAACACCCTGTATAGGATGTTCCATTTGAAATAAGTGAGTTATTCAGCATTCAGCTTGTCAATGTTTGGACGTGCATCGTAAACACCCTGCATATTCGATGAGGTGAAATTTGAAATAATAGAGTAATAAAGGGGCAGCTTATGTGGACCAGACCATTATGTGTTGATAGGATGTTTTCTCTCATAGCAATGTACCGTTTTGTGGATAACTGAATTTAGACAAAAATGAACAAAATTGTATATCTCAAAAACGAAGCAGGATGTGTTTATACATCTGGTCACAAAATATTTCAAAGGGGATGTAGAAGTCGACAATGTTATAAAATATAGGGGCCGCTACTTAAAAAATCCTCACTTTGGCAAAAGTGGACACCCTTTATACGCTAAAATATAATAAAATAAAACTTTCAATTGATCCAAGAAACTCTTGTATGTAACATTTTTCTGAATAATGGGTGGTTTCTGAGATACGGGGAAGGATAAAGTTATGTATACGTACATTGCATGGCAAGTAGAAACTGTTGATTTTTGTCCTCCTGCACCTTGCTTCATGGGCCTCACTATTGGTTGAATCTCAACACTCGCTTATATGCCTGCCAAAGCTGTCAGCAGTGAGCCTCTCGCGCATACCCTCTTCAGGTAGCTCTTAAAGCAGCCAAGTCCTGTGAGGCACTATGCAGTATAGTAATCTATCCGCATCCCTTGTCAACCCAAGGTTTAATATCTGAGATCAGCCTTCTAGTGCATGTACCATAGCCAGTTACCTTACGAGTGCGTTGGTCGACACCGTCTTGTAACCGCACTGCTACTTATTGCTAGCTTCTGATGAGCAATACCAGACTTGGTTCTTCAAAACAAGACAGTCATTTACCGTCGACATAATAGTACGTTTTATTTTTATTTTTAATTGCTTTTAAAGTGTATAAAAGATGTTTAACTTTAGTCGGTATTAGATGATGAAGTTTTATATGTATCTGGGACTAATAAGCATTTTTGTCCTTTGTCGTAACCACAACCGCCTAATCGACTCGAAATCTGCTTCAAATATTTAATTTTAGTCGGTGGTAGATTTAATTTTGTATGTATCTGAGGTGTAAAAACGTTATAAACAAATACTACAACATTCCATACTATTTCACCTCATCCAGACCGCCAAGTCCACTGCCAGACAAAGTCTATGGGATCAAACCTTAGACTAATCAATAAAATAGCGCCGAATAGTGAATTCACCACTCTACATATGGGAGACCGGGGATGGTTGACTATAGGGTTAGGTAAACTAACCTCCAAAAACTCGTCAACGATATGAGTATTACGTAATCCCAGGCCAGCCGCGCATTACTCTCCTTCCCCCGCTCGTGATTTGTTTTCGGACCATGTAAGTAACATTTTCATATTGCATATTTTTCCATCTGACACTTACACATCTTATGTTAACCATTTGCCTATTAGTCAGAGTGTTTCGTGAGTGCATATTGATAATATTTCATGTATTATTTCTTAAGTTGATGGCAGTGTTTAGGTAACCCATGCCATTGAAACTTAAAATGGCGTCTGGGGTTGGTAGAGTAACTACTTGCGGGGCTGGTTGAATAGTTAGTCAACCAACCCCAATATAATTTGAGGTTTAAAATATCTCGTAAATTGACCTTTTATTCGTGTTTTAATATTCATTTTGTTACAGTACAATGAGGACCTATAAAAGGACTGACCGAGCTGATACACCAAAAGATGTCCTAGAAAGAGCTTGTCAAATAATAATTTTTGACACAAAAAGTATTAATGCAACTTCAAAACAATATGACATCCCCTATAAGACATTACATCGTAATGTGGTGAAACTAAAGGAGAAAATGGAACGTAATCCGAACTTGACGAGACCAGAATTAACTTTGGACTCAGTGGGTTATAATAAAAACAGGTTTCACTGATGAAGAAGAAGAAGCTTTAGCAAGTTATTTAAAGAAAGCAGCTGATATTTATTATGGATTGACACCATATGAGACCCGAAAATTAGCATGTCATAAAAAGTAACAAAGCTATGCCTGATTCTTGGAGAACAATATTGTTAGCTGGCGAAGATTGGTTAGGCTTGTTTCTCAAACGTCATCCTTCTTTAACCATAACGACACCTCAATCAACAAGCCTGTCAAGAGCTACATCATTCAACAAACATAACGTCAGTATGTTCTTCGCTAATTTAATTGCTGTTTACCAACGTTTGAATTTAAGCCCTGGTGATAGCTGGAACGTTGATGAAACAGGTATGTCAACCGTGCAAGTACCTTATACATAGAGTAATAGCACGACGTGCTGAGAGGGGTACACTGGTGACAGTTGCAGTAGCTATTTCAGCTGTAGGAGATAT